TATATATATGGATCCGGTTGCATGCTGCAATAATATTGGATCAGGATGGACGTCGCAACAATATTGGATCGGGCTGATCAGGTTGCACGCCGCAACAATATTGGATCGGGCTACGTGCATCAGCAACATAGCGCTTGGGCTGAAGGAGCCCCTCCGGATTCTATACACCCCAGTGAGTGCAGGTACCTATCGTGAGTGTGTATTGCGTGCTGAGAGCCGAGGGTATGAGTTGTTGAGATGAGTTAAGTGACTGCTGCCTTGAGAGGCTGTACTTGCTTTTATTTATTGTTGCACTTAGTTGATATCTGATGTTGTTGTGAAATTTCTAGAAGATTCATTTCTATTTTACTTGAGCTCGAACTGAGTTGACTTATACCGCCGGATTTGAAAGCATGTTCACTCTTTACTGAAAACTTTTGAAATAATCTGTATTATTATAGTTCGTCACTGCTTCTCAGTTCCTTATTTAATTCTATTACTTGCTGATTTGGTGGCACTCATGCTACACCCTGCACTTCATGTGCAGATCCAGGTGTGTACGGTTCTGGCAGTCGCTGAGTTCGTGCGCGAGTTGATATCGGAGACTTACGATGTAGCTGTCGGCGTCCTCAGTCCTTGTTTCTCCTTTCTTATTATCTTTTCTCTCTTGTATTGGCATTTGACACAGACTGTAGTAAACTCTGTTTTCTAGATTGGTTGTTAGATGCTCGTGACTTAGTGACACCCCGATGTTGGGCTATCATTCTGCACTTATGTTTTGGATTTTTACCCCGTTATTATGTAAACCTTCAGTTAGTTTAATTGCTTTAGCTCACTTCTGTTATATATTGAAAGCATATTGAGAATGTCGGTTTGCCTAGTTCCACAATATGTGCCATCACGATTGGTTGGGTAATTAGGCCATGACAAGTGCTCACCCGACTTTTCTGACACCTCGGAATCCTCCTCGGGAAAAGCTAGACTCCGAGCATTGGTTTCGCATGTCTTGGCATTCTCGATTTCGGTCAATATGTCAAAATTCTGAACATGGACTCCCTCGAGGGTCTCCCTTCAGGATTCCCACCTCGCATGCTTCACCATGTTTTTGCCTGCTCCTGGATAGCCTCGACATCAACTTTGAGCTGGGCCACTTTTTTATCAGCTTTGCTCCGGGCCGTAATAACTTCTGACTTGGCAGCCTCGAGCTCCTTGGCCAGATTCTCTTGACTAGAAATAGTTGAGCTCAGCTGAGATTGGAGTCCCTCAATCACTTTGGCCTGCGACAAATTCTTCTCCTTTGCAGCCCGAAGCTGAACCTCAGCAGAAGCCAACTGCGTCCGGGCAGTCTCTTTCTCTGAGGCTAAGCGATCCATATTTTGTTTTCATTCTTCGGTCTTGGCTTTGACCTTATCCACCTCCTCTCGGAGTTTCTTGATCACGTCAAGTTGTTTCTGAAGCTGCGGGCATAGATCATTAGTTACTAAGTCCGACTCATCATCACTAATTTCAAAAACTATTTTTACCTGCTCGACCAGGTCAGAATGTTCCCTACGAGCCGCCTCCAGCTCATCTTGGGATTTTTCATTAAGGAGCTTATAAGCATCCTTCTTTTCAACAAACTCCCGAGTCTCGGCCTCATGATGCTTGAACTCCTCCCGATATCGAAGAAAGCCCTCGTGATGAAGCACCGAGCCCTGCAAACACAAAGCAAGATGTTAGGATTATTCATTATTAAATCTAAGTATATAATCAAAAGGACATTCGAAGTTACTCGACTCAGCGCCTGTTGAGCTTCATTGAACAGGCAAGGCGCTTCCACCTCGTTCATTTTTTCTTGATCCTCTTCGGTCACCAAACACCGAAGGTAACTAACTATCTTCACCGGGGCAGAGAGAACCCGAGTGTCCTCCGAAACGGACAAAACGATTGTATGTCTCCGAGTACGATCGACACTCAGAGCGGGAAACTGGTTCATTAATTTTGGGCTCGAGGAAGACCAGCTAGCTCCCGGGGATGATATCTTCCTTGGTATCGGTACATCGCCCAAACCGGTAACATCCTCAGAAGTAGCAGAATCCAAGCCATCGAAGAAATTATTGGAAGAATCGACTGCTCCTTGGGCCCCTTCGCCGAGGTTACCTTTCAATGCCTAGGCCTCGTTTATCATAGAATTTGTAAACGAAGGCAACCCAGAAAGGTCAATCACCCCAAACGCCTCTTTGGGGACATTATCTTCTGACCGAGATATACCGATCATGGTTTCTTCTTCGACCTCACTGGATCGAGGAAAATCAGTCTCGACCCTCCCGGAGACTTCAGCCACTGCTTCTTCTACGGCCTCCATAGCTTGAGGCATTTCGGAGCCACTTCTCACGCGGACCACCAACTCATAATCTTCTTCTTCTTCGGACTCATCCCTAAACCGAAGGAGTGTGTCCGTAGAGAGTTCTCGGGCGCTAGCTTTCTTAGGTATATGCGACATTCGCTTCCTAGGTATTTTCCTTTCAGGGACCGAGGAACTTGGAGTTTTTCTTCTTTTCTTTTTTTTATCCTGCTTCGGAGCAGGGGGATCGATGAATATGTCATCATCGGCTGATGGAGGCCTCATCTCAATGACTTTTGGTAGACCTACAAAAAGAAAATTGAACAATTCAGAGATCGATGATGTGAAAATAAAATCGAATATAAAGAAGCAATTCTCACCATGATTACGAGCCTCCCACCGGCCCTTCGAGAGCTCACGCCATAAGCGCTCGGAACAAGGTCTCTATGTCACAATGTCCTCGACCCACTCTTTAAGTCAAGGAACGGGATCCGGCATCTAGGTGATAGTTGCATAATCAAATAACGTCGATGAGAAGGGACAAAAAAAGGAAAAGCAATAAGAGAAATCTTAAAGCCAAAGTTATACTTATGATTCGTATTCCATTTCTCAGGAAATGGCATATTCGCAGCCGGGATCAAATCTGAGGTCTTCACTCAAACAAAACGGCCCAACCAGCCCCGATCTCGATCCTCATCGATGCTCGAGAATATGGTATTAGTGGCTCGACGTACGAGCTTGATTAATCCCCCTCAGTAAAGTCGAGGGCTATAAAGGCACATGAGATGGTCGATAGTAAATGGACATCCCTCGAGTTTGCTTACGAAGAAATGTAGAAGAATTACAATCCTCCAAAACGAGGGGTGAATCTGTCCGATAGTCAGCTTGTACCTTTTGTAAAAGGCTATGATGATTGGATCTAAAGGACCCAGCATGAAAGGGTAAGTGTAAATACTTAGAAACCCTTCCACGTAGGTGGTGATTGATTACTCGGGGGTAGGGACCACAACAAGTTTATTTTCCCAGTGGCAGTCCTCTTTAACCTTATCGAGGACGCTGGCAGTAATGGTACATATGTACCTCGAGATCGGCTCGCGCCAACCCGGTACCAATGGGGTGTTCTCAATCTTGTAATCGGCCCCGGTTGGGCACCCCGAAGGTACAAACGACTGTGGAGGGGGTTCTGGTGTTGGTTCTTCAGTAGCAGCAGGTGTGACATCTTCCGACGGCTTCGAGGAAGAAGGGTTTGCTTTTCGAGGAACAATTTTTGAAGTCTTTGTCATTTTTTTCTAAATTGAGAAGAGAAGAAGATGTTGGTGAGAGAAGGTTTGTAACTAGCAGGTAACTTATGAAGAAATTTCAAAGGACTCACAAGGAGGGGAGTTCTTAAGCTTAAACCAGAAAATCAAAAGATGAAAATGATGAAGTTTCTCTTAAAACGCATAAGCAAGAGCGAGAATGGAAAAGGTTCTTGTGAAGGGATTGAAGGGTATTTTGTAATGACCCGGCCGGACGTTTCGAGGGTTATAGCCCCGTTTCCCCCATTTCCGCTTCTTTCTGTGTCCTTCAGCTATATTGTGTTATACCGAGTTAGTCGGTTTGGGTCCGGAGTGGTTTCGGAGTGGATTGAGACACTTAGTCTTTTAAGTAGAAGCTTAAGTTGGAAAAGTCAACTGGATGTTGACTTATATGTAAACGGACTCGGATTGGAATTTTTCTGGTTCTGTTAGCTCCGTTAGGTGATTTTGGATTTAGGAGCGCGTCTGTAATGTGAATTAGAGGTCCGTAGTGGAATATGGCTGGAATTGGTGAAAATGGGAAATTGGGCGATTTCGGTCGGCAGTGAAAAATTTGATATCGGGGTCGGAATGGATTTCCGAAAGTTGAAGTAGGTTCGCAGTGTCATTTGTGATGGGTGTGTAAAATTTGAGGTCATTCGGACGTGGTTCGGTAGGTTTCGGCGTCGTTTGTGGATTTCAGAAATTTAGAAGTTCTTAGGCTTGAATCCGAGGGTAATTTGGTGTTTTGATGTTGTTTTGAGTGGTTCGACTAAGTTTGTATGTTGATATATGACTTGTTGGTATGGTTGGTTGAGGTCCCGAGGTGCTCGGGGTGATTACGGGTGGTTAACGGATTGGTTGAAGTTGGAAAATGCAGTTGAAGCTGCTGCTACTAGTATTTCCGCACCTACGGAGGGCGAGCTCGCAGGTGCGAGGGTGCAGAAGTGCTAGGAGACGTCGCAGGTGCGGGCAAGGCTAAGGTGGGCTGGAAGCACAGGTGCGAGAAAGCTGTCGCATCTGCGAGCCCGCATGTGTGAGACCTAGGGCACAGATGCGGAAGGGAAAGACGTGACTGGCTTAGCAAATGCGGAAAATTTTGCGCAGGTGCGAAAGGTTTGACGCAGATGCAAAATCTGGGATCTTGAGTGAGTTCCGCACCTGCGATGGACACTCCGCAGGTGCGGTGTCGCAGAAGCGAAAAAAGGAGCTGCATGTGCGATATTGCTGGGCAGAAAAGCCCTAGCTCTTGGTTTTGTTTTCATTTTTCAATTTTTGGATTTGAAAAACTCGGGAGAGAGGCGATTTTTCGAAGGTTTTCAAGGAGCAACGTTGGGATAAGTGATTCTAACCCATAATAGTATAAATTTCGTGAATCTATGGCTTGTTCATCATTAATTAGTAGGATTTTGTAGGGGTGGGCATAATACCGACCGAACCGAAAAAATCGACCGAACCGCAAATTTCGGTTCATTCGGTTTCGGTTTTTCGGCTTATTCGGTCGGTTTGCAGTTTATGTTTTCTATAATTTTGGTGTTCGGTTTGGTGCTTGGTTTTGCAACTTCGGTTTACGGTTAAACCAAAAAATTGAAGTTTTCTAATATGGGTCCTAACCTCTGAGCTCATTTTAAGTTGTCTAGCCCAACTTTTCCACATATTGACATTATAAAATTTGAAGCCCAAGCACAAATAAAGTCTCACATTCAAAAATTATCCCTTTTTATTTGGAGGAAGTTTTAAAACTAGGCACGGTTTCAAACAAAATCACATAATCCTAGCATCATAAGGAGATTTACATAGATGGCAACAGAATGTTTCTTTCCATATCAGAAACTTATAACAAACAAAATCTCTCACTTGTAATCACGCTTTTTCCATATCCCATCCAAACCCTTTTTCTTTTTTTTTCTAAATAAGTATTAATTATACAAAAAGGTATAATAACAGAATAATACCAATATATTTATGATAATTCTGGTATTTTCATATTTTAATTAAAAATATTTTATTATATGAATGGTATAATCGCGTTTTCGAGTTTTAGTTGCACTAAAACATGAAATTAGTCATATTTTTTAGCAGAAAAAGTCCGATTTAAAAGCTCAATACGACAAGACCAAACCGACCGAATTGAACCGAAAATCGACCGAATCGAATTAGCAAAAACCGAAGAAACCGAACTAATTTTGGTTCGGTTATTGGTGCACCAAACAGAAAATAGAAAACCGAAAACCGAACAAACCAAATCGAACTTCATGAAAACCGAACCGAACCGACCGACGCCCACCCCTAGGATTTTGGAGTGAAAATAGGGGGTTAGGGCTTGAGATTTTGGAGAGTTTAAATTAAGGATTTGACGGACAAATGATGTCGGATTTGGATAAATTTTATATGTATGGACTCGTGAGTGAATGGGCTATCTAGTTTTGTAAATGTTTTTGGATTTCGAGACGTGGACCCGGGGACCGAGTTTGAGCCAATTTTTGGTTTTGAGTCTAATTTGGTATTTTTCATGTGGAATTGATTCCGTTAGCCCATATTGATCGTATTGTATTACTTGTGGTTAAATTCGGGATGTTCAGAGGCCGAATTGAGAGGCAATGGTATTTCGGAGTAGGACTTTACTTGAATTGAGGTAAGTAACGCTTTCAAACTTGGTTCTGAGGGTCCAAAACCCTAAGTTATGTGTTATGAGACTGGAGAGGTTGATGACTAAGCGAGGCCGAGTGCCTAGTTATGAGTGCAAGTTATGGGATCGGGCTGCACGCCGCCGTGGTTGTATTGATGATTATGATAGCGCTTGGGTTGTAGGAGCCCCTCCGGAGTCTGTAACACACCCTCAGTGAGCGCGGTTGATATTATTGAGGGATGGATATTCCCTGGACATGGATTTTGTCCAAAGTACTTGATACCTAGAGATGGATCTTCTCCACAGGGCTGGATTGGCCTTCCTCGGTACTGGGTGACTTATAGTCAGTGATGTATATATTCTGGGATGGATCTTGCCTGGGCCGTTTGGGCCATATACAGTACTGAGTGGTTGAGCATTCGAGAGTGTGTGCACATGATGCTGAAAGCATGGTGCATCACATATCGTATGTGCATTGGCATGTAGAGATAGCAGAGTTGTATTTTTTACACTGTTTGGTTCTGCTTCACGTTACTGTTTGAATTGCCTATTTAATTTGAAAGCATGCCTACATTTCTGTTCAGTTATTTCTATTTTATCTGTATCGGTTGAGTTCGTCACTACCTTTCAGTCCAAAGTTTGGACTTGTTACTTACTGAGTTGGTGTACTCACGTTACCCCCTGCACCTCGTGTGCAGATCTAGGCGATACCGATCATAGCGGCGGTTGCTGATTGAGGATCCCCGATTTTTGGAGACATTAAAGGTAGCTACACGGCATTCGCGGGCCTTGACTCTCCTTTCTTTATCTTTGTTGTACTTTCGGTTTATATCTCTAGACACTGTAGTAGACTGTATTTCTGATCTAGGCGCTCATGTACTCAGTGACACCCTGGTTTTGGGCTGGATTGTATCACTTTGGGATTTTTATATGTTTTAAATAGTTTTTCTTAAATGTTAAATGCTTCCGTTAACGTTTTCAAACTTATTGATGTTGGCGTTGTGTTGTTGAGTTGAGGCTGGCCTAGTTCCACGACAGGCACTATCACGGCGGTTGATTTTGGGTCGTGACAAGTTGGTATCAGAGCATAGGGTACATAGGTCTCACGAGTCATGAGCGAGTTTAGTAGAGTCTTGCGGATCGGTACGGAGACGTCTATACTTATCTTCGAGAGGCTGTAGAACCTTTAGGAAAAATTTCACATTCTTGAATTCTTGTCGTGCGAATCTATTGATTCTGGTAACTAAACATATGTTGTTTTGTTCTCTCACAGATGGTGAGGACTCGTACCACCGGGCAGGATGGACAGCCACCAGTACCACCAGCCAGGGCCGCGAGAGGCTGAGGGAGCGGTAGAGTCCGCGATAGGGGCAGAGGTGCAGCTCGCACAGTAGTTGGGGCAACACCTACAGATTCACTAGTTGCCCCTGATCAGGACCAGATTCCAGTTGTTGATACACCGACTCAGGCACAACCTATGCCTATTGTGATTCCAAGACTTCAGGAGGCCTTAGCTCAGATTCTGATCGCATGTACCAGCCTTGCTCAGGCGGTCTCTGTTCCGGCCGCAGCAGCCACCTCTCAGGTCGGGGGAGGTGCTCAAACTCCCACCGCTCGCACACCCGAGCAGGTTGTTCAGGGATTTCAGACACTGAAGGCACCACCAGCCCAGCCGGTTGCATTTGCTCAGGATTATGTTGTTCCTTCTATGTCTGAGGATGATCAGTGTAGATTGAAGAGGTTTGGGAGACTCCAGCCTCCACCTTTTAGTGGCAAAGAGAGAGAGGATGCACAGGACTTCTTGGACATGTGTCATAGGATACTTCGTACAGCTGGCATTCTGGAGACTTGTGGGGTCTCATTCACTACTTTTCAGTTTTCTGAGGCAGCACTCAGATAGTGGGAGACTTATGAGAGGCGTAGTCCTGTGGGTGCAACACCCCTTACTTGGCAGTAGTTCTCCGTGATCGTTTTGGAGAAGTTCGTGCCTTAGTCCTGCAGAGAGGAGCTGCGCAGGCAGTTCGAGTAGCTTCATCAGGGTGATATGTCTGTGATGCAGTATGAGATGCGATTCTCAGAGTTGGTCCGTCATGCTTCTGGTTGGTTCCCACAGATAGGGAGAGGATCATGAAGTTTGTATATGGTCTCACTTATCAGTTGCGATTGCTTATGACCAGAGAGAGTGTCTGGTGCTACGTTTGATGAGGTTGTCGACATCGCTCGCCAGATTGAGATGGTTCGTAGTCAGGAGAGGGTTGAGAAGGAGGCCAAGAGGCCTCGTGGATAGGGAGGATTTAGTGGTGCTCTTTTTGGGGTCAGTTACAGCATGGTAGAGGTCGTCCTTTCAGACATGCTCAGACGGCTCACCCAATGCACC